ATGGTAGCCTCGTCGAGTTGAACATAAGGTGTGGCGTGAGAGAAGACGGGTAGAATAGCACAACCACCATGCCCTCCAATGACAGGCACATCAACCTTTTCGACCTCTTGATTGGTAGCCTCAGCATAGAAGGTCCTTGCACGCGTCACGTCAAGACTCATCAGGCCCATGATCTTCCCCTTGTTGAAGACACCGACTTGCTTGTAGACCTCACACGTGATGGGCACTAGAGCTGTCTCGGGGTTTGACATGATGCACACCAGAGCAGTAGGAGCATATTTCGCGAACTTGAAGGATAAGTCCCTCATTATCCTAGCGTTTACGTTAAAGAGATCGTCCCTCGTCATTCCCGGTTTCTGAGCGATACCAGCAGTGACGATAATCATATCAGCACCCTCGACACAGTCGCCGATTTCATCGAGCCCTTGGTAACCCGAAACCTTAGCATGAGTGTTGATATGCGAGAGATCGGCTACTACACCAGGAATAGGGAACCGCGCACCAGGCACATCATATAGGGCAACCTCATCGATTTCAGGATTCATCTTCAGCAGAAGAGCCAATGGTCTCCCAATACCACCAGAGGCACCGATCAGACAGACCTTCATTGGAATAAGTATAGACTCCTACCAATGCGGCATGCTCGACTGAATAAACATCCTCATCCCCAACCATAGCAGTAGTAATCTTAGGCGATGCTATGACCGAGTACTAAAGGCTTATTCGCATTCATAATTACTCTACATCTATATATATAGAGTTAAGAATAAGTATAGTATTCATTTCAGTAGGTATTTATGCTAAATTTAGTATGTTAGGAATCTATAATATAATTATGATATACTTCACCATACTACCGTTCAACAAGGACCCTGAAGATATATTCATGAACGCAACAAAAAACACCAGAATCACAATAAAAGGTCACTCAACCTTATTGTTATTGTGGCCTTAGGCCACTCTATCAATTTTCACATACAACAGTATGCACTATAATAGAAGGAACAACAGTGGTAAAAAGCAGCTCAGGCTAAAGGCAACTAAACCTCAAGCTTGTATAAGAATAGTAACAACATCTACTCACAACAGTCTATCATGAAATCAGTTCCTCTCTTGATATCTTCACGGAGCTTCTCAAGAGTCTCCACCATCCTCTTCTGCTCGTGTGGAGTCAAACCATCGAGCTTCTCAACTTTCTCGACACCTTCAGGTCCAAAAGTGCAGATATGAGCAAAGAACTGTACGTCCTCATAAGGCTCGTTGACATAAGCACAGGCTGTATGGCTTTCGCCCTTTAACCCGCGGATAACTATATCCACAAACTGGGCAGCCGAGTAAGCCATTGAAAGACTGGCCGACCCGGCACCAGCGAGTGCATCAACAACCTCAGTAACTGCATTTTGAACATGATCATCAAGCTCTTCGATGCTTTCTTCGTCCAGCTTGACATAAGGAGTTGCTTTAGAGAATAGAGGGAGGATGGCACAACCACCATGACCACCAACAACAGGGACGTCAACTTTTTCAACATCCATACCAGTAGCCTCAGCATAGAATGTCCTGGCACGTGTCACATCAAGGGTGGTGATACCCACGATCTTCCTCGAGTCGTATACCCCAGCCTTCTTGTAAACCTCAGCAGTGATGGGCACGAGAGCAGTCTCAGGGTTCGACAAGATGCAGACAACAGCCTCAGGAGCATACTTGGCGAACGCAGTTGCCAAGTCACGCATTATACCAGCGTTGACGTTGAAGAGATCATCTCTGGACATACCAGGCTTTTGAGCGATGCCAGCAGTACAAACGATGACTTTAGACCCTGTAAGTGCAGCCTCGAGCTCAGTAGGACCAGCATAACCCTTGACCTTAGCAGGAGAGTTGATGTGAGAGGAATCAGCAGCAACACCAGCAACAGGCACACGAGCTTGCTTGACATCGTACAAGGCCAACTCGGTGATCGTTGAGTTCATCTTCAACAACAACGACAAAGGCATGCCGATGGCACCAGAGGCTCCAACGAGGGTCACCTTCATGTTGGGGGTAGTGGCAGTAGAACTCATTTGAGAACGAATATTGATAATTTGAATTTAAAGAACTGACAAAGGAGGTAATCAAATATCCGACAAGCAACCCCACATGCAAACCTTATAAACTATCCACTGAATTCTAAAGTCCATAGGACGGTCATGCCAAAGCCTAGCGTAGCGCATGAGCTTTGTGTCAGTGTCGATCGGTGGACACAGATGAAGAAGACACTCAACAAGTCAACCACCTCATGACGGTCTTGAGAGTGTGAATAGGATAGAGAAGGTTAAAGTTATGGACATGTCGGACAGGTGGAATGTGGATTGATCCAGAACAGAACAGAATTTCGCACGCATGCACATGAGGTACGCGAACGCAAACCACCCGGGTTCGATTCCCGGCGAGAGCATCGCTGTAACCCAAGACTCTACCAGTGGGAGTATGCGTTCACAAGCAACCAGCCTTTGTATCGAGATTGATTAGAGACATCCCTTTTTGATATCTTCGACCGGTAGCCCAACCTTAACCCAGTCCGGGTGCTTCCTTGAAGTCACCCTGGCATCCGTCACCAACCAACTCCCTCTAGTTTAATGACCACCACCATTGCTATTGTGAATTGCGTAGTTGATATACTATGTGTTGAACTGGGCTACGACTACAATTAAGAAATCGGTAATCGAAGCCGCCTCAGAATATGGGGTTTTCTCGCTGCTATTGGAGTGTTTATCGTCAAACACCGTGTCACCTTTTTTGGACAGACAAGTCATCATAAACGTCTTCAGCGAACAGACGGTGAACAGTCCGAAAGAGGCCAAATGCCCCGCATTCCCTCTGCAGCTGACTTCGGTATTAACGCAACGAATCGAGGATCGCTGAAAATAATACAAATCGTCATCGAACACTAACTATCGAAGAGTGCAAGTGTCTCGTCAATTAGCTCCTTCATATTTCTAGCAACAGCACCATCGTCCGCCTTCTCATCAGTAACCTTATATTCCCTCAATACTGCAGTGAGTGTCTCACACGAATCGTCTACACCTGATGCAATGATAGCTTGGGCAGCAGTAGCAGCTCGATAACGGACCCCAATGTCCTCATGCTCATCAAGAACAACTCGCGATATCATATCCACCGTCATCTCGTTGCGGACGGCCATACGGACTATGGGGAAATCCTCGTCCTGGTCATCGGACACGAGTAAGTTCGCGATGGCTCCGGTAGCGGCAATACGAGTCTTCAAAGATTCCGCAAAACTCAAAGCGGTGAGAATTTTCAGATCCTCCTGAGCGCTAGCAGTAGAAGCCATAAAGCGACTCTGAATCTCCCTCGTCGAGCAGAGGTTACACCACACCTCAGTCGCCACAGTTTTGATACGCTCATCCTTGTTGAATATTAGTTCTCTCACAGTTTCCCACGCTTTCTTCTCCGCAACGAATTCGCGCAATTCTGACGATGCACTGGTGATCCTCGAGAGCGCCAAAGTCGCTTCAAACTCCTCTAAGCCGTTCGTGGCCACCGTTATTTGCTTCAAACAAGCGACAGCAATGGTAGTGCACTGAGTGTAAGTGAGGCTACGAGGGTCGACGGAGGCTCCTATCTGACAGGTAGCTTGTCGACACAATACGGCGGTGTCCCCGAAGCCCTCAGCCTCCGATGCATTCATACCCTTCATGAGCACACTGAGGCCCCATTGGGCAACCATACTGCGATTGCGTTGCTCAATACACAGAAGGGCGAGCCCCACAGAGCATTTACCCCGAGCAAGGGCTTTCACGCCTTCTCTGGGGGACACTGCACGACGCAATGAGCCAACACGTTTTGGGTCGCCGAAGTGGACCATGGCAGGGGCTCCTTCCATCTCCGCTAGCGCGGTTCTCAAAGCTTGCAGGTCTTTTTGGGATAAACCCCCGGTGGCAGCAGCAGCAGCCCTTTTGACAGGATGCTCATCCTCAGTACGCAGGAGAAAACCGGCGAGCCAACGGTATTCGGCGCAATCAAGGCCCAAGAGGACTATACGTTCAGCCAAGCGGGAATCATAAATCTTCTGGAGGAAGCTCGGTGACGAAGTACTTTCTCGTTCTAACAGAGCACGCACACACAGCATGAGACCCTTCTCCTGAGTGCGGGGACAGGGACTGGCCAACCACTCCTCGATGGTCTGGCCGATGGTGCTGCGATCAGACTCCAACGTGGCGATGATATCGTCGGCTTCTGCTTTGGTAGCATCAATGCCCTTGAGAATGTCGTCCCATTCCA